TTGGTAGGGTTGAGATGAAATACCAAGCAGATGGATATACAATGTAGATATTTTGGCAGCTCTTGATTTGACAAGTACTTTGAAAAGTTACTGCTTAACTTTCTGATCAAATTCCCTCTAAAAAACCCCAGACTGACCTATGTTTTCTGTGTTTATGAATAGCAAATGCCAAAATCCTTGGCTGAGCACACATTCCCAGCCCCACTAACTACATTTAAAGATTTATTTTATGTGTATGGCTGTGAGCCACCATGTGGGTGCTGGGAACCAAACCTGGGTCCTCTGCAAGAGCAGCAGTAATACTTTTTTTTTTTTTTTTTTTTTTAAATTTTTCCACAGGGTCTCCCTAGTCACAGCCCACGTGGAAGTCACAATGTGAACCAGGGTGGCCTTGATCTCACAGAGATCCACCTGCCTCTGCCTCCCGAGGGCTGGGATTAAAGGAGCATGCCACGATGCCTGACAGAAGAGCAGTAATACTCCTATCTACTGAGTTAACTCTCCAACCCATGCTACCCTTAATAGGCTTCTTAATGTTATTTAATCTAAATCTTGATTGCCATATGAACTTATGACAATTTTGTTTCACTTATAAACTTTTTTTCCCAGATAGAAAATTAAAAAATTTTTTTTTGAGACAGGGTCTTATCTTGATTGCCATATGAACTTATGACAATTTTGTTTCACTTATAAACTTTTGTTCCCAGATAGAAAATTAAAATTTTTTTTTTGAGACAGGGTCTTCCTGTAGCCCCAGCTGTGCTGGAACTCACTATGTAGACCAGGCTGGCCTTGAACTTACAGAGATCTGCCTGCCTCTGCCTCCCAAGTGCTGGGATTATCGAAAGTTAAATTCTTCATTTGAATGAAAACCAGAAAGCTGACTGTGAGATAGTCTCCTCTCCATTGAATCTGCTTTCTCTTTTCACAAGAGAAAAAAACTGAGGCCGAGAGAGCCTAGTGGCATGCTAGGTAGGTGGTGAGGCTGGCACAGAGCTGTGTCTGCTGTCAGACTCCGTGCCCACCACCCCTCTGAGGAGATGCCGCCTCTGGATCACTACAGGCTGTGAATATGTATGAGACAAGCCACGGGCATTTTGCACAGTCCCACAAGGTGACAGGTACTTACTGTGAGAGAGCTCATGGATGGTCCTGAGGTGACCCGCTTCACACTGCCCACATCTGTGAGCCTGTGTTCGTTATCATCCCATCTTCCATAAGCCAGATCGATCCCACCTACAAAAGCCACTGACTGATCAATGATGACAAGTTTCTCATGATGAGCCCACAGGTAGACACTGGACGACACGTGGTCTGGGTGTCTCATCACCTTCAGAGGGGAGAAATCCACAGGGAACGTGCTTTTAGAAATACTTTTCATGACCCAACAAAGGAGGTCTGATTTCTTCCTGAAAAACATGTTTTAATGATTCACATAACAAATTGTTCTAAATACACCAAAGAAAGTCTCTCAAACTTCTAACTTTATTCGTAGTATTAGCAGAGAAAGACTTTGGCCTAGATTTCTCTTCCTTATTATTTTTTGCTTGCTTGTTTGGTTGGTTTTTATAGTTGTTGCTTGAGGCAGGGTGTCCCTGTAGCCCCATCTGGCCTGGAAACCTCTATGTAGACCAGGCTGACTTCAGTCTCACAGAGATCCTTTTGCCTCTGCCTCCCAAGTGCTAGGATTAAAAGTATGCATCAATCATGCCTGGCTATTGCTGTTTTGAGACATGGTATCAGCACGTTATCCAGGCTTACCTTCAACTTGAAATCCTCCTATCTCAGGTTCCTGAGTGCTGGGATCCAAGGTACAGGCCACCACATATGATTTCCACCTATGTTTTAAGTCCTCAGCCCACACACGGTATTTTGAAGAAACTGTCCTTTAGCTTGCAGTTTCATGACTGTTAAAGCTGTCTTGGTTTAATAGTTCTAGATTCTCAGTTCCCTCCATAACGGTTAGAATTGGTATTTAAATAAAAAAGATACTCTAGAATATTTAACCAATAAGATCTGTGGAAAGATGTTAATAAATTATACTGATATTTTGGCAGCCACTGAGTTGAAATACTAATACACATAATATGAAACCACATGACCAATTTTGATGTGCATGGTCCAGTGGTTCCAGGGTAATGAGTTAGCATCTTTCTTCCTCTTCAGTGTTTGGAAAATTTTGCAAAGGACTAGTGTCAGCTTTTCTTTCAACATTTGGTAGAAGTCATCAGTGTGCTGGATAGCTTTAGTGTCAACTTGACACACCTGGGTTGAGGGAGCCTCAATTGGGGAATTGCCTCTATTCGACTGGCTTGTGGCCATGTCTGTGGGCACCTTCTTGATTGTTGAGTGATGTGGTAGAGCCCAGCCCACTGTGGGTAGTGCCACCCCTGGGCAGGTGGGCCTGTGTTGGATAAGAGAGCAAGCTGAGCAGGGGCCAGGGGAGAAAGCCAGTAAGCAGTGCTCCTCCATGGTCTGGGCTCCAGCTCCTGACTCCAGGTTCCTGCCCTGAGTTCCCACCTTGGGCTCTCTGATGAACTGTGACCTGGGAGATGTAAGACAAATAAACCCTTTCCTCCCCAAGTTGGTATTGGTCAGAGTGTTTTGTCACAGCAATGGAGAAACAAACTAGGACAATCAGTGAAGCCACTGAAAGGATGAAGGGATTTTCTTTTAGGGAAGATTTTCCACTACTGATCACTCCCCTGACCAGCCTTGCTTAGACTCATACCTCCTCCCGGGTTGGTCTCTGGAGGTTCTGACCATTTGATAAAAGTCATCTGATTTGCTTATATGCAGGTGTTCATAGTAATCTCTTAGAACCCTTTTTTATTTTATTATTTTTTATTTTATGTGTATGAGTGTATTGTCTTCATGTGTGTGAGTGCACCCGTGTCGTGCAATACTCATGGAGGTCAGGAGAGGGTGTGGGATCCCCCAGAACTAGAGTTACGGACAGTTGTTAGCCACCAGGGTGCTGGGAACCAAACCCGGGGCCTCTGCAAGAGCAGTCAGTGCTCTTAACCACTGAGCCACCTCTCCAGCCCCCTAGAGTCATTTTTTATTCCTTAGACTTGTTAATAATGACTCCACTTTTACTTTTGGTTTTAGGAACTAGCCTCTTTCTTCCTTTCTCATCTCACTAAAGTTTTCCCCATTTGGTTGCCTTCCAAGAATCAGCTTCTGGTCTCGCTGGTCCTCTGCATCTTCCCTTCTCTGTTGGACTCGTCTGCATCACTTTCCTCTCCCTGCTGTCTCTGGGTTTAGTTCGTTCTCTTTTGTGTGAATCCTTAAGTTGTATGTTAAAATGACATTTGAATGCCAAATTAATATTTGGAGACCTTATCCCTTTTCTAATTGAGCATTTATAAACATCCCCCTCTGTGCTGCTTTGCTGTGTCCTATAAGATCTGATATATTATCTTATTTTTATTTGGCTCTAAGAACAAATTCCTGTGATTTGATCTTCTGTTTTTTGTTTTGTTTTATTTTGAGACAGGGTCTCCCTGTGTAATCTTGGCTAGCCTAGAAATCACCATGTACACCAGGCTGGCCTTGAACTCACAGAGAGCTGCCTACCTCTGCCTCCAGAGTTCTGGGATTAAAGTGGTGAACAGAGGTTCTTTTTCTAAAAAAAACTTTTTAAATTTACTTTTTAAGTCCACATACAAAATGCTGGGTTTCAGGATGACGTTTCATACACACACGCCATCCCACTTTCTCCTGCTCCTCTACCTCCTCCCTTCCTCTTCTCCATTGCAAATGGACCTCCCTTCTACTTCTGTGTGACCTGCATTCCATTCCTCCCTCCTCTCTATCCTCCCTGCTCTCTGTTTTTTACTTTTTGAGAGAGGGTCTCACCATGTAGCTCTGGCTGACCTCAGATTCACTACATAGCCCAGACTGGTCTTGATCTTGTGGCCATTATTCTGCCTCAGCCTCCAAAGTGCTGAGATTGCAGGTGTGAGTCTCCATGCTATGATGACTGGCTTTTTCAGTGCAATGTCTTAGATACTACTACCCTGTTGTACTATCTATCTTTCAGTATCTCACTCATTTCAATGGCTGAACAATATTCCATTGTATAGATATACCAACCATTTACCGTTTGATCAGCATTTGAGCTGTGCATCCCTGTGAACTGTTATGAACACTGCCACCGGGAACATTTCTATGGAAGCGTTTGCATAGATCTGTGTTCTCATTTGTTTTAAGTATAGACCTAGAGGTGTATTCTAGTTTGGTTTTCTGTAAAAAAAGACACTGACCAAAAGCAATGTGGATAAGCGAAGTGTTGGGCCTACAGGTCATAGTGCATCAATGAGGGAAGACACTAAGATCAGAACTCAAGGCAGGAACCTGGAGCAGAAACCATGGAGCAATGCTCTTTACAGGCTTGCCTCCCCTGGCTTGCTCAGGTACCTTCCTTAGACAGCCCAGGGCCACCTGCCCATGGATGGCACTGCCCATAGTGGGGTGGGCCTTCCTCCATCAATTAACAATCAACAAAATGCCATCCAGACAGGCCCACAAGACAGTCTGATGAAGGAAATTCTTCATTTGAGGTTCCCTCTTCCCAAGTGTGTCACGTTATCAAGATTAGTCACAAGCTGGAATCCCTGGGTTATAGGGTAACTAACTTTTTGAGGAACTGTCAGATTGTTTTTCGAAGTGGTTGTACTATTTTTCATCCCTATCACCGTGTAATAGAACTCTATATTCTCGCCAACACTTGGTATTATCCGACCCTTTACTATAGCTACTCTAGTGGGTGTGAAGCAGAATCTTGCGAGCTCCCGTTTGCATTTTCCTGATCTTTAATAATGGTGAATGTCTTTTCGTGTTTATTGGCCATTTGAATATCTTCTTTGCAGAAGTGTCCATTCAGAGCCTTTGCTCATTTTTAAACTGGTTTGTCTTTCAGTGCTTGAGTTGTGTGAGGACCCTGTATTGTCTAGACACGTGTCCTTTATCAGCTCTATGACTTGATACTTTCTTTCCTGTGGCTTACCTCTCCTCTTTCCTTTGCACACTCTTTTCAGTTGTTAATGTCACAGAATTACACCCCTAGAAGGTGCTGGATAGAAGCCTGGGGAATGAGTGCTCAGAGGCAATGCAACATGACCCATCCTTTGGGCTGATTCATACGCAAATGAAATAGGCAATCATACATTTTCGGCTGGATAGATTTATCAGTTCCTGATGTCTTGGAGTGCCTCAATGACTAGGGGATCTTTCTTGATAGGTCTCAGGTCTAGTGAGATTTCGAGGAGCTTTTTCAAGTTTCTCATTATTTTATTTACATCATCTGTATTTCATACTGGATACTACTGATTTTTAAATCTATAAGATTTCAAATCCTAAAGTAGCTCACATTACTTCTGTCAGCAATCAGGGAATTCCTTGGTGACCTTGCATCCAAGTAGCTCTGGGATTATCTTAATGAGAAGTGTGGAGATTTGACAGAATGCTTGAATATTAAAACAGCTACAGGAAGCATGTTCTTGATTATACTTTCACTTTAAGTTATCAGAGGCAGAGTTGAGACATGTAAGAGACACTAGCCGCATCAACATAGGAAATATGAGAAAGTATTTTAACTGAATAGACAGGTCTCAAAAGAAGAAACAAAAGGTCAATAAATATTTTTAAGAGTATGCAGTATCCTGAGTCATCAGAAAAATGCAAATCAAAACTGCTTTAAGATTCCATTTCACTCCAGTAACAATAGCTGTTATAAAAAAACAAAAAAAAACAAAAACAAACAACAACAGTCAGGTGTGGTGGCACATGCCACCAAGCCCAGCATTTGGGAAGCAGAGGCAAGCAGATCTCTGTGAGATGGAGGCCAGCCTGGTCTCCATAGAGTTCCAGGCTAGCAGGGGCTACAGGAAGACCCTGTCTCAAACAACTGTCTCTATAACTAAGGCTCATAGAGCATAGTGGAACAGGGGGTAGAGAGAATCCTAATGCATCCCTCAACTCTCACCAGTGAAGTTTCCTCATGCAACAGAGGGCAATTAACACAACTGACCAAAATGTAGAGAATAAGAGACTGTAGAGTGTATGTCCCTAGATAGGACTCCTATAATAAACCTCATCCACCCAGGGATTAGGAACCATTGTGGAAGTTTGTAAGAGCCAAGGGTGGTGAATGACCACAAGAAAACAGAGTTTTCCAGGCTTCTGGGAACTACAGCATCTTATGCATGGTCACAGCATGCACAAGACGCATGCAAACTCAGCCCAGACAAAAACCCAGCACAGAATTGGGGAAATGAGCAGGAAGCCCCAACTTTAGCCAAAGAACTACTGGCAGCTGATCACTGCTGGGTGAGAGAGAGTTGTTCTTCTTCAAGGGAGTGATACTAGATAGGCTGACTAGACCCCAGTGGGTGAATTCATACCGAGGCACATCTGGGGATACAAACTTGACTCATTAGGCCTTGACATATATGACAGAATGCATGAAATCCAGTGGAGAGGGGACAGAGAGAGGAAGGGAGTCTAAATATGATTAAGATATATGAAATGCACAAAAACTCAATAAAATATATTGAAACAAACAACGAATATTGATGATGTGTGAGGAAAGAGGAACCCTTGCTTACTGCTGGCAGGAGTGTAACCTGGTGCAGATCTGAAATCAGGGTGGAGGTATCACAAGAAAACTAGTGCCATATGGCCCAGCTATACCACTTCTGGGCATAGAAAGGAACAGGCTATACCATAAAGATACTTGTATATCCCTGTTTATTGCTGCACTCCTCACAATAGCTAGCCAGTGGAACCAAACTATATATAGTGGAATTTTATTTAGCAGTTAAAAAAAATCCCAGAAATAATGCCATTTGTGGGAAATGAATGGGAAGGGAAACTATTTTATTACATAAAATAACCCAGGTCTAGAGGACAAATACCAAATGTTCTCTATTATGTGTGGCTCTTAAAATTTTTTTAAAAAAATATTTTATTCATTATTTTTATTTTATGTGTATGAGTATATTGCCTGCATGTGTATAAGTGCACCCATGTCATGCAATGCCCTTGGAGGTCAGAAGAGGGTGTTGGCTGTCCTGGAACTGGAGTTAGGGGTGGTTGTTAGCCACCATGTGGGTGCTGGAATCTGAACCTGGGTCCTCTGCAAAACTAATCAGTGCTCTTAACTGCTAAGCCATCTTTCCAGCCCCCTTAAAAATGTTTTTTGATTTATTTATTCTTACTCTGTGTATGAGTGCTTTGCTTGCATGTATGTAAGTGCACCTATGTCATGCAATGCCAAGAGAGGCAGAAGAAGGTGCTGCATCCTCTGGAAGGATAGCCACCATGTGGGTGTTGGGACCCCAGCTGCAATCTTTTGAAAGAACAGCCAGTGCTCTTACTTGTTGAGCTACCTCTCCAGCCCCTCATGTATGAACCGTAAATTTAAATTTTTATATGTTGTGTATATGTATATGGGAGGTGTGAGAACAGGTCATAAATCTAGACAGGGGATTATGAAAGGGAATGGGAAAAAAAGAGGGAACAGAATACATGTGACATGAAAGCAAAAATAAAGGCTTCTGGAGGGAAAAGCAGACACACGGGGTGTTGAACAGGAGGCTGAGTGAGGGGAGTACGGAGGGAAGGTCAACAAAAATAAGGTACATGTGAAAACATCATAATGAAATCCATCACTTTGTATATTAATTTAAAAAAAGAAAGCATAATATTGGCTTATTTCTGAAGACTCAATGCTGTTCATTCAAAATAAACATTAAGGAAGCCTATTCCAACCGCCCCCAAACAAACAAAGTCATAAAAAGGTCCTGGGTGTTGGTACTGGCTGGGAGAGGATACCTTGATGTTGGGGTGCAGCCGCATTAAAGTCCTCTTGCTGTATTCACTGTTGATTCCGAGAGCAAGCTCCACTTCTTTGTAAAGCATGATGAAGATCCGCACCCCCTGTTGCTGCACGAGAGGAAACACGAGGGATGAGTGGCGGACACTATGGTTTCCTTTCCTTCTTTCCCTCTCCGTCTTATATTTTCTTTTCCCATCAATTAGTATAATAAAACCGTTAACAAGAAGACAGACAACAAAATGAGGTGACACACAACTATAGCAAGACACAAACATAAAAACTAAAAATAGTCATGCGTTGTGGTGCAGTTTTGTAATTTCAGCACCTGGGAGGCAGGTCAGGATCAGCTTCATAGTCGGTTGGAGGCTAGCCTGGGCTGCATAAGATCCTGTCTCAAAATAAAGACAAAACAAAAGAAAACTCTCTCCCTTCCATTCTTACAACTTAAATCAAGAGAGTGTTGGTGCTAGACTAATTATAGATCCAGAATGCTGAGGCTAACCTCGACTGCTGAAAGTGTCCAATAGCCTCACCGTTCTTGACATTCCCAGACTCTTACCATTGAGGGAAACTATGACCTGAGTCTATGATGCAACTGCTAACACTAATAGCCCCTAAATGCTTCAGGGAGATTTACATAGAAGCTTTCTTTCCTGAAAATAATTGCTTAAATGAAAAAAAAAATCTCTTAATCATCAAAGATGAATGTGTTGAGTCATGCTCTTAACTCACACATAGATATTAATGTCTGTTTCACTTGTGAAAGGACTTCTTCAGAAGCAACCTTCTCTAATGTTGAAAGATGTGTGAGCTAAAGCAGAAGCTTAGTATAACACTGACACAAATCAACAGTAATCCACCCCCAACTGTGGTGCTATAAGGAAACAGACCAGGCTGTTATGGTACATTTAACTATCAAATTAAATCAGAAAGCACTTGGTGAACACTTACTGGGGTTTACCATCTGATGAGTAAGAACTGCATTTTTGCAATGCTGTACACTTTAAAACAACCTAAGAGTTACTGCTTTTAGGTAGCAGATGACAGGAACACATACACAGCTCTCACTGTGAGTCTGTCAACCTGAAGAAGCCTGTTTGGCGCCTGAATTTCTGAAAGTACCACACCACGTCATTAGCTAGGAATGCCTGAAATGTTTCTCCATTTTGGAGTGGTACATTTTGTTTACACCCTGGTGTTCCTTAGGTATATTAGGAGAAGACATACCCTTGTTCTGAAAAAAATTAGAATCAAAATGAATATATATGACATATGTGTACATATACATACATACATACATACATACATACATATGTAATTCCATTTCTCTGGTTAACACCTGGCCTTTGGAACAACTCATTTATTACTTATTACAACTATTCAACTACTATAATCAAGTATGTAAGTACAGAGCTGGCAGGCTGACTCACTAAATAAAGGTGCCTACGACCAAGCCTGATGACCTTTCAATACCCAGAACACATGGGGTAGAGAGAACTGACTCCCAAAAGTTGTCCTCTGACCTCCACATGTGCACTATGGCATGTATACTCACTCTGTCTCACACACACACAAACATGCATACACACAGAAGGAAGGAAGGAAGGAAGGAAGGAAGGAAGGAAGGAAGGAAGGAAGGAAGGAAGGGGTGGGGACGACAAAGAAACAAAGGTGGGCTGGAGAGACGCTTCATTAGTTAAAAGAGTGTGAACTACCCTTGCAGAGGACAGGAGTTTGATTCCCAACACTCACATCCAGTGGCTCACAATGTCTGTAGGATTAGCTCCGGGGGATCTGACACCCTCTTCTGGCCTCTACAGGCACTGTATGCATGCATACAAACACACATATACATATAATTAAAAAAGCAAATCTTAAAAAAAATAGAGTGGTAGACTAATTTGGATACATAGATCAGATAGAAAGAAAGACTGGTTGATTTGAGTAAAGGAGTAAAGACATAAAACTGTAGGAAAGAAGTCAACAGTTTGATTTTTGATGGTCTGGCCAGTGAGTGGTCAGTAATGAGCCACTGATTGAGTGCTGAAAAGAAAATTAGAAGCTTATTTTCTTTTTCCTGTCATGTGTTCAGATTTATTTTTCTATTTGGGATTTTGGGTCTTAGCACTGAATAATGATTACTTGGGGCTGGAAAGATGGGTTAGTGATTAAGAGCACTGGCTGCTCTTACAGAGGACCCAGGGTCAATTCCCAGCATCCACATGGTGGCTAACAACCGTCCTTAACTCCAGTTCCAGGAGAATTTGATACCCTCTTCTGACCTCCAAGAGCACTGCACAAAATAGGTACACCTACCTACATGCAGACAATACTCTCATACACATGAAATAAAAAATAATAAGTAAAATATAAAAAACAGTCAGTAAAAAAATATAATACAAAGTTTAAAACCTAAAATTTCAACTTAAGTTATAGACCATTACACTTGACATCTTTCCTAATGGCTCACTTATTTCAAATGGATCAAATTATGCATTTTTTTAAAGAACATGTTTCTCTCATCCTTTTGTGCATATGTGTGAGTGTGGTGTGTGTATAGTTTATGTGCATACACATGCATTGATGCCTCAGTATGTGCTACCCAGAGGACACATTGCATGCCCTTTTCTATCATTCCCTTCCTCATCCCTTTGAAGCAGGGAATCTCCCTGAATCTGCAGTTCATTTTTAGGCTAGGGTGACAGTGATCCTCCTGTCTGTGCCCACAGTACTAGGGTTACAGGAACATGCCAAACCATGTCCAGCTTGTTACATGCATGTTGGCATCTGAACTCAGGTCATCATGGTTGTACAGCAAACACTCTTAACTGCAGAGCCATCTCTCCAGTCCTCCACATACTGCTTCTGGAACGTAAGACATTATTACTCATGATTTAGGAACTTGGTTTGAATCCTGCAGTTTTCCAGTTACCTGCGTAACTAATAGATTTTTGAATAATAAAGATCTTAACTCTAATGGTCACATTATTACCTTCCAGTTATTAAAGCCTGACAATTTCTTCTACTCTGTCTTTTCTCATTTAAATAAAGTAACTCTAAAGGAAATAAGGAAGAAATTTTGTCCTTTTTTTTTTTTTAACCTTAAGTACAAATGACTAACAAGGAAGTCATTATAGGAAGGTCATTTTTAGTGATGTTTATGATATTTACTTATGCTTATAGCTACAATAAACAGTTAATTAGTGGCAGATTCCTATGATAATGAGATAGTAATTTCCTTCCTTTTGTTCATAGCATTACAACATTGTCATAAACTCTATAAATGGCAAAGGAAAATCCTTCCTTAGAGATAAAAGCCGCTTGCTTTGTTGTAAAGTACAAGTTTATAAAACCCTGAGAGATTCTGCAACCCCAACCAAATTCACAAAGAAGGACAAATGTTACTTTGTAATTTAAAAAGTATACTTTTTAGTAGCCTTCCTGTATACCAATAATGAATGTGCTTAAATCAGAAATCAGGAAAACAAGCCAGTTCACAAGAACTTAGAAGCAAAAATAAATTACCTCAGAATAAACCTAACCAAAGAAGTGAAAGACCGTCACGATGAACATCTTAAAACCCTGAGGAAATAAACTGAAGAAGACAAGCTGGAGCTGGAGCTCAGTTGGTTGAGCTCTTTTCTAGTATGCTCTAACCCTGGGTTCGAGCCTCAGTGTAGTTGCTCATGAAGCAGGAGAATCAGAAGGTCAAGGCCATCCTCAGCTACATAGTGAATTATAGATCAGCCTTGGATCCATGAGACCATGTCTCAAAAAGAAGAAACTAAAGAATACAGAAAGGCCTCCATGCTCATGGATTGGCAGAATTAATAACAAACATGGCTATGTTTCCCAAATCAATCTAAAGAGTCAACAGAATCCCCACAAAAATTCCAATGATGTACTTCACAAATAGAAAGAACAATGTTGGAACTATCACCACCCTGATTTCAAGTTAAACTACAGAGCTATAGTAAAAACCAGCATGGTACTGATCTAAAAACAGACACATAGGTCAGTGGGAGAGAAGACCCCGAGTGAAAGCCACCTGCCAGCAGGTGTAGTCACCTGCTTTTTGACAAAAGGGTGAAAACCACATACTGAAGAAAAGACAGTCTCCGCAACAAATGGTGCTGGGAAAACTGGGTTTCCACATGTACAAAAATGAAACTAGATCCTAATCTCTCTCCCTGTACAAATAATAAACTCCAAATGGATCAAAGGCTTTAATATATGGCCCCAAACTGAAACCATTAGAGGAAAAAGTAGGGAAAACAGCTCAAGATATAGGTACAGACAATGGTTTTCTGCAAAGGACACTAATAGCTCAGGAAATAAAACCAAGGGCTGATAACTAGGATTGCATGAAATTAAAAAGCTTCTGCACAGCAAAGGAAATAACAGAGAAGAGAGTCTACAGAATTGAAGAAAATGTTTGCTTCCTAGACATCTGACAGCAGATTGACATCTACAATGTATAAAGGATGCAAAAACTAAATAATCAAAAGAACTAAATGAGCTAACGGAGGTGCAGACAACTCTCAGAAGATGCACTGCAAGGGGAGCCAAATACCATCAAACAATAGTATATGAAAATTGAAAAAATCCAATAAAAAGTGAAATTAAAAAAGATATAGTACAAATGGCCAAATAACATGAAGAAAAAAAAAAAGGTCAACTTCTTCAGCTATCACAGAAATTCAATTTAAATCGACACTGAGATTCTACCTCAGTCCAATGAAAATGGCAATCATTAAGCAAACTAGTAACAACAAATGCTGGTGAGGATGCAGGGGGAGGGGTGGTGAGACCCTTATATGTGCATGTGTTACCTGGAGGAATGCAAATTGGTCCAGTCACTAAGGAAGTTAGTATGGAAGTTCCTCAAAAAACAGAGCTACCATATGCCTCACCATACAACTCCTGGGTTGTAAACCAACATAAGACAGAGACACCTGCACATCCGTATTTATATAGACCTGCACATGTATTCATAGTAAAAAAGCCAGCCAGGTGCAGTGGCACACAACTTTAATCTCAGTCCTCAGGAATCAGAGGAAGGCGTCTCTCTATGAGCTCCAGGCCAGCCTACTCTACATAGGGAGTT